GGTCGCGTTTGCTTAGGGTCTTCCTTGTACCGTGAGGGCTGCGAGTTTCACTCGGTATTTTTTTCTCTTTTTTCTGCTTCCTTGAGATGGTTTCTTAAGGGGTCTTTGTCGTTAAAGAATTGAGTGGGCTAGTTGTTTCTTCATACAAGGATAGGCGCAATGCCGACTCGCAATGGAGTGTTTCTTACGCTCGCGAACCTCCTGATTCCGATTGCAATTCTCGTCTTTGCAACGGGGTTCTTTCCGTATAAACCGTTTATGCCGGGGCTGGCGCAGTTTGAGGATCTGTTGTCATATGAGGGGGGAGAGGATGAGGTGCGGAAACAGCCTGATGCGCCGTTTGACAAGCTGGTTTTTATGGTCGTGGATGCGCTAAGGAGTGATTTTGTGTACGGCGAGGAGAGTGGTATGAGTTTTGTGCAGAGGTAAATCTTGATAAAATATATAGAGGTCATCACTATAGTACGACTATGCTAACCATCCACCCAGTCTCATACGCGCCGGCACTGCCATACCTTATACCGCACATGCTACCTCCCCAACTATCACCATGCCCCGCGTCAAAGCCATAACCACAGGCTCCATTCCCTCTTTCGTCGACGTCATCCTCAACTTCGCAGAGTCGGACACGTCGTCTACGCTGGCGACACAGGACACGTGGCTTGCGCAGATCAAAGCCAAGCAATTTGACAGCGGCAGCGGGAAACTGGTCATGTACGGCGATGACACATGGTTGAAATTGTTTCCTGATTTCTTCGAGCGGGTAGATGGGACGAGCAGTTTTTTTGTTGCGGTCAGTAATGTGCATCTACATGTATGTAGAAATCATGGAATGTTGATACCAAATTGCAGGACTTTACCGAAGTGGACAATAATGTGACGCGCCATGTCCCCAATGAGCTTCTGAATAGTGATTGGAATGCGATGATATTGCATTATTTGGGGTTGGACCATATCGGACACAAGGCTGGTCCTAAAAGGTTCGTTGTTCCACGCTTTCGCGCCTCTGTGATTGAGATTCAGGGGAGGGTTATACTGATGCAAATGGCAGTCCGAATATGCTCCCCAAACAACGTGAAATGGACGGCATGGTCCGCACCATCTATGAAGCCATTGAAAACGAAGATCATCTCTCAAACACTCTCTTTGTACTTTGCGGTGATCACGGTATGAATGATGGCGGGAACCATGGTGGCTCATCACCTGGCGAGACGTCCCCTGCGCTGGTCTTCATGAGCCCGAAATTGAGCAAAGTGAGCAAGAGCAAAGGATATGCAAGTCCGATCAAGTCGAAAACAGAAGGCGAGTTTGATTATTACGACATGGTAGAACAAAGTGATATTGCGCCGACACTTGCGGGGCTGCTGGGTTTTCCAGTACCGAGGAACAACCTAGGAGTCATGTTGGAGGGGGCTTTGGGGCTGTGGGATAGTAGTAAGTTGTAGGTGATGGAAGATGACGGCGAGTGCTAACGCAGTATAGATGCGGACCGTGTACGGCTGTTATATCAAAATGCGAAGCAGATGAAGAAGATTGTTCAGGCCACGTACACTGGGTTGAGATTTGATGATCAAGTACTGAGCAAAGAAGAGATGGGAGTTGACTGTTCTCAGGCGGATGTAAGTTCACAGTATAACATGATATATTGGTTCCTACATGCTGACCCTGGTAGGGCCCAAGTCTTTCGGATGGTCAGGAATTGGCGTGTTTGTGGCAGCGAGCCGTCGCATCGACCGAGGATGAACATGCTGCCATGGAAAATACCTACAAGGTATGTTCTGTATTCCCCTATAGAATTTGTCATCGCCATACACAAACTTACACTCCTAGTTCATGCGCAAAGCCCAAGAAACCATGTCCGGCGCTGCCTCCAATTACAACGTTCCATACCTCTTCCTCGGCACACTCTTCTCTGTTCTCATTTGCGTCCTCAGCTTCTTCACGCTTCCCTCCTTCATGCCCATCACTCCTTCTGGAATCTATACAGCCCTCACTCTGCTTCTCTATGTCATCCTCACATTCGCATCTTCTTATGTCGAAGAGGAGCACAATTTCTGGTACTGGGCCACATCCGGCTGGCTCGGTCTCCTCTTCATCACCACCATGCGCAAACAGTGGCACAACACTTGGATGTTCCACCCTGCCCTCATAACGCTCGCAATCCATAGACTGATACGTCGATGGAACCAAACAGGACAGAAGTACGCCGGTGCAGACGACATTGTCAACAGTGGCATTTTCCACGGAAGAAATTCTTGGATCCTGTGGGTGTTGGTAGGCACAACTTATATCCTCGTCGCGAACCGGCTCGCCGAGCATGTCGCACGGTCTCTTGCCTCGTTTGAAACGGAAATGCGGCCGCAGCGTGGACAGCGCAAATCCGCTCCTATTGTTGACCCCGAAGCTGTTGATCAGAATCGCCTGGTTGGCACGATTGCAGTGATGCCGCTCTGTGGCACTGCGTTCATCTTTAAACTTGCGTTTACGGCCAAGGATGCACCGGAGTTGACGCAGGGGCTTCCGGTGTCGCTGCTGGAGTGGGTGGAGACTGCGAATCTGGTGGGCCTGGCACGCATGATTTTTGGTGGTATCTTGCTGAGTGCAACATGGCTGGGGTGGGCGGAATGGCAAAGATCGAAGAGCAGAGGAAAAGGTGGAAAGGGAAATAGCGGTACGAAACTCTCTCTCGCTCTCTCATCGCAAGCATTTGAAGAGTGGCCGTATACTGACAAGTGTCGTAGACTACGCAGTCGCTCTATTGGACCAAACAACGCTCTTCCTCCTCACCCAGACCAAAGCCCACAACATCCCGCTCTTCCTCCTCTTCCGGCTCCAATTCTTCTTCCTCTGTAAGCCCGTACCCCAGCCATCCCAACCCCCAACCAACCCCACTAACGGCCCCACCCCAGCAACCCTCCCCCTCACCCCAACATCCACAACCCTAACCACCCTCCTCCTAACCCAAACCTCCTTCTTCGCCCTCGGCAACACAAACGCCATATCCTCCATCGACCTCTCAAACGCCTACAACGGCATCTCCAGCTACTCCATCCCCCTCGTCTCCCTCCTCGTCTTCCTCTCCAACTGGGCAGGCCCACTATACTGGTCCTTTGCCGGCCTCCTCCTCCTCGGCGGACATACAGCGCCCAACCGCTACATCGACACCTCCGAACTCCACGTCGCCGACTGGGTCGCCCAGGAGCGCGAGTACCTGGATGAGTTGGCGCGGCGCGAGCACAAGCAGAGACTTGTTCGTGGGGATGCGGGCGCGTGGTTTCAGCATGTGGCGCTGCTGACGTGTGCGACGGGGGTCATGTTGGCGGGGGTCATGGCGGCTTGTATGGTGTTGAGGCAGCATCTTTTTATTTGGACGGTGTTTAGTCCGAAGTTTTTGTATGCGATGGCTTGGGGGGTTGGGATGCATTTGGGGGTTACGGTGGGGTTGGGGAGGCTGCTTTGGTGGGTTGGGGGGTGGTGAGCGCGGTGGTGACTGTGGCGGTGATGTGTGCGGCATGTGAGTAATGGGTTGGTGGGTTGTTGTAGATAGGGAAGTAATGGAGGTGTATGGTACTGTATTGTATTGTGTATTTCTTTTTTGGGTCACGTGGTTATGTTCATTGCATCGATACCGTTGATATTTCCTTGGCGAAGAGTATTCATATCAAAATCTCCCTTGTGATAATATTCAGGCTTTCATGGAGAAGTTGGTGTATTCATCTCCTGATTCTGCATTGTCCAATCCAAGATCATAATCGAGCTACATCTAAATCATCGCCTCGATCAGGTGCTATCACACCCACTCAACCAACATAATGCAGATTCTCAATGCCAGTAGTCATGGCTAACCGATTCATCAGGGCCCAAAAAAAGCTTTGCAGCCATGAAATTGCGCAAGTAGCCCAATGCCATCCCTCCCATTATCAATCTGCATCTCAATCTCCCTCGCCACCGCCTTGAAGTCTATCATCTATCTCTGTCTCCATTGCCACGCCTACCTGCAGGTTCATCAACCCAAATCCTGATTTCTGCCACGCTGGCTTCTTCCGCGCTCGACCCATTTGCACAAGGTTCTCTTCAACGACGAAAGGGATCTAGGCTCCTGGGAACAAGAAATACCATACGACGTGCAGTAGGCCCAGGAACTGGCACAATATCCCCATCCCGTACCACAGCAGGCCTTACCGTGATGGCGAACTGATCCTCAAGCCCCCCTGGTTGCGGATCGAGAGGTGCCACGATGGTCGGTCGGGGCAGTGGTTGGATAGGTGTGGGGTGTACCTGGGCCAGCGGTGCCCGCTGTAATTCTTGGGTGCCGAGATCTGCCATGTTTTGCTCGAAAAGACGATTGACCTGTTCGATGTGTAGATTGAGGTTTGCATAGTTGCGTGGATCGGCGGCAACGTTGACACCCACGTGTTTGCAGTGACGGGTGTGCTGCATGATGCTAGAGTATGGCACGAGACATTCCCAGCAGAAGTGGTGGGTACAGTGCCGGCCTGTGTATGTGTTAGTAACGGTATTTGCGTTATATAGCTATTAGATGCGTGACTTGCAAGCCATGTGGTCGCAACCACCTGTCTTCTCGATATTCACACCGCATTTTGGACACGGCTTTACCCCAAGGCTTCTGAGAGCTGCTGCGGAGGCCTCTTCTTCCTGATGCACCACTTTGGTGCAGCTCTTAGAGCCGTGAGACTCCCAGGGACGTGCGCAGCTGAGACAGATCTGGTAGTCGCAATAGGGGCATGCAATCATGCGTTTTCTGGTTCTGGCCTTGCCCTGGCAATCTGCTATGCAGAAGTACTCGCCACAATCTGATGAAAGGCATGCCATGTAAGACGTGTCATTCGAAAGGAGATATTTAAGAAGAGCTTTATCGTACCTATCTCAAGTGTTAGTCATTGAATTTCATGCAGTAAAGTTCTCCAGTAAAATAGTAATCACTCACTCTCCATACGCAGCCTCGGTCATGTTCAGCTTGAGCATTTGGAGACTCAGGGCAAGGTTGCAGCCAGGAAATGGACAATCCAGCTCAGCTCGACCAAGCTGACGATTGATGACTTTGGATTTGACCATATTCGAGATACAAAACCTGCAGATAACCTTCCAGTGCTGACAGACATAATTTTCGGTAATGAATTTGAAGCACGTCGCGGTGGCTTTAGTATCGGCACAAAGCAAGCATTCCGTCTTTTCAGGCAGCAGCAGCTTTTTGGGCTTCACTGTCTTCTTGATCACTTTATGAGTAGCCTCTTCCGTTGCTGATGCCTTGGTCTTCGCGGGAGGAATTTGTTTTGTACGGGTAGGAGCTCGACGAGATGCACGGGTGAAGGCATTGGTCCCAGTGTTTGGCTCTATTGCCGGAGCGCGCGGCGGCCCAATGCGAGGTTCAGGTTCAGGTTCAGGTGATGTATCGATGACGATAGGATCAGCACGCGAGCCAATTGCGTAGTTGACACGGTGTCCATGTTGGGTGCTCAGTCGGGTTGAAGGTGCCATGCAGGTTACAGTCCAGTTCGTGTGTATGTGTGCATGTGTGTATGTGTGAAGGTGGTGGAAGAGTGCGGGCAGTTACTGGAGAGAGACCACAGTTTTATGGCCTAGTAGACCTATGCTTTCGCTTGGTAAAAGTTAAAAATATTCCAGGTGATGTGCGGCCAGTGCAAACAACTGCCTCGCAAGTGAAGGCTACAAGACGCAGGTCATTGCGGGTATGCGCAACAGGCAGCAGAAAGTGCGCATAAGCCATTCACAAACCGTTTGTTCGCGGCCTATTTAGCCCACTTTATAGTTCATATGGTGTCTCAGATGAAAAGTGAACCACAAGATTAAGCTCAATGTTGGCGTCCGAGGTGACTTCTAGACATTTCCCCATGTGGCCTTACATACTTCTTGAGTGACCGATGATCCGCTAGATACCTCTGAATCAAACGAATATGACTTCAAAACCCGAGTGAAGTAGTCGTCGGCAGTTTGGAAGTATTAATATCTGACTTCAAGGGCGGAATGGTGAAGCAAGAATGTCAGATGTGGCGATGGGTGCAAAGGCGATGATATTGGTACAAGTCGCCTGTGTTACACATAATGATCTATTGCCTTGGGCAGCAAAGAAAAGAAAAAGATGATAGGGAACATTTGAGATTCAGTCAAGTAGTTGGCAATTTGAGAATCGGGTTGCAAAACTGCCCGCTGTGGTTTGGCCACGCAGTTCAGATCATAAAATGGAGATGGAGAATCGGCCGCAGACATTGTTGACGGAAGATTCCATTCTCAGAAAGTTGCGAACGACGTGAAGACGCTAGCGCCGGTGCACACACCTAAATAGTTACCATACGACGGTAGGTACTCATGAGGCCGCATCCACTTGTCACACCAATCGTATGGGACGTCCATCTATCTTCCTTCTTCCACTCCCCGTTGCCCAATGTGCTTCTTCCCCAGGTACAACAATTTATGCCTGTCGTTCTTCCTTGGCCACAACTGTTTCTGTGTGTTGGTCAGGCCTGCTATTCAGTTCTGATGACTGAATGGCCTTGTAGGGTCTATTCAGGCGCCGCATGGTCCACCTAGGACTTTGATACGACCTTCGGAGTCTTGTTTGTAGAACGGGTAGTCATGTCACTGTAGTAATATGTGCCATCATTGGTGACTTACATCCTTCGATCAATAGTCAGAGCCGTCATGCTACAGTCAAAGAACATCTCTTCTATGACTGGGCAGCGCTATTAAAGCGGCAGTTATCACCAAATTTTCCTGGACAATGAACGAAAAGCAATCTCAACGATAAATCAAGTTTCATAAATGCCCATCAAAGACCGCTATACTGTTGATCATGGCTGCTGCCGGGAAGGACCAACTCGCTCAGATTATGGGAGATATCAAGGTGCAAACCCCGGTGAGTGATTATGGTTCCGTATACCAATATCCCAACGTGCTTACGGTGCGCTCAGAAAAACAAAGAAGGGTACTGGATATGCCGAAGACATGAATTGTCCGTACCCATCGGAAATCTCACATGCGGTGCAGAGAGTCAGGAACCCTGCATGCGGACACGATTGGAGGATATCTACGGATCCAGGACCGAGGATCCTAAATGGGGCTGCGTGGGTTGCCTCATTAAGGCAGCCGGCGAGTCTGAGTATCCATTCACGGTATTGAATAAGCCATACCAGACATACTGCATACATTATCTGCACTGCGGAACTACATACAATCCGAAAACGAAAGAGGGCGCCTACTCCTATTGGGCGTGTGGGAAGCATAAAGGTGCGGGTCCGGTCCGTCGTATCAAGGCGACACATTATGCCCATTGTGGTGTTGAGAAGTGTCAAGTCGGCCTGATATATGGGTATACATATAAAGACTGGATATGGGCCCTTCCCGAGAAGCCCAAGGACAAAAAGGATCTGGGAAAATTGCAGTGGGCCTGCAGATGCAAGGACACGCTGCATGAATGTGATAAGCTGGTTTGTGTGATGTGTGCACTTAGGCCCGATCATGAAGAGGCTACCTATGTCGTCCGTTGCCTCAAAGCAGAGAATCTCGATAAGCAAGTAAAGACTGATACGTCAAAACCTGTGAGATAGATATCCCGAGATTGTTTTTCTATAGTACACTAGACTTAGTATAGATATTGCTGGTACTGTTTAGTGAGGCGTGCTATCATTCAAACAGAATCAATGGCACATGTCACCCGCAGATATACAGTCTATCACTCAGATCATTATTTTGAACCTAGCGAGTAGCGCTAGTAATACTTGACAATTAGTATCTAGCTTTCAACAGTCCTGTGGTCCCCGAATCATCACATCACGTAAGAAGCATCTTATAGCAGCCGGAAAGTTCTCCATTAGAAGACTTTTTTGATAATTATTGACCTCCCTCTCGCAACACTCTAAGGCATACACAAATCGCTATCATTTTTCGCCCATTTCTCACAGGGCTTAGCTAAGAGACCTTGAACCAGATTCCCGAGAAGCTGCCATATTTGATCCCAAGGATAGCCTGCTCTGGTTACTTTTATGGACATTCCCGCGATTGACTTAGAAAGAGGGCTACTTGGTGCGCCAAATTCAAGAGCTTGAACCACCACAAAAAGGGATTAAGGTCAGCAAATTCAAGCTGTTGCCTCGATTAACGAATTGAGACGAAGGGACTCTAGAGCCTTCTAAATAGCCTAGATTAGTACGCAGAGTTTAGACGTGCTATGCCTTATACAGCTGTGAATTGGAGGCTAAACGTAGTCTCTGGACTCAACTCGATGAACCTCGGAATCAGATACACGTATAGAGAGATTCATCAGAACCACAGGGCATTTGCGCAGTTTTAATCACTCAATTGATGTATATTGTAGCCATTTATATTGGCCTACTACTGAATGAGGTTGTATAGCGTAGTTACTAAGAGCTGAGAGTATAGTCATAGTACTGGCTGTCATTTGTATTTAGTGATCAGCATAAGAAAGAGCCTAGGCAATGACTTGAGAAACGTCGAATTGTCTTGCTAAGCCAGCCTTGTGCAATGCTGCCAAGACTCCCTAAGTCCAAGTAACACAATTCTATTGCGGAATTATACATAGGCCTATCGCTTACTTGTTTCTCTATTTACAGAATTCCTCGCATGGCGTCATGTGCTGGAGGAAGACGGTATGGCTAACCAAGGTACTGGTGGGAAAAGTTTCCGCCCCGATATTGCGTGAAGTGATGAACAATGTTATAGAACGGTACACAAAGGGGCAGAAAATGGGATTTCGCGGGCATTTATCCATTCACTATGACAAGAATTCCTGTATTCTCATTGATTCTTTTGCATCATCGCATCGTAGCGCCACCTGCGCGAATGGCGATACTTCGTCTCATAGCGTACTCATCATCACATGGGCGCCAATATCCCAAACGCTCACGTCTGGCAATAGATCCACCCTCTAGTTTTCCAAGTCATACAGCAAACACCCCCCAGTCCTGAAATTATACACAAATGCCCTTCCTCCCTCTCCACTAGTATTGCCCTCCTCATTCCTCGTCTCTAGCCATTGCGCCCGGTATTTCAAAAGCAAATCGTGCAGCTCTTGCAGATACTTACGTTCTGCAATCGGCATCTTCTGGATGGCATGGCGCCATGAGTCTGGATCGCTGAGACGAGTCTCCTTAATGAGCGTCATGGCTTCCTCTTTAGTTTCAATGGCCGCGATGGGTGCAGATCGGAAGTCTGAGAGGAGTTCTGCGGAACGTGTTTGTGCGGCTTCGACGATAGACCACTTGTTGCTCTTTTTGCTGCGATGTTGTGCGATAAGAACGTCCACGTTGGATTTTGCGGCGGCGGAAGTTGAGTTCGTGTGTGCGGCTTTGATGAGCCGTTGCGCTGCGCTTCCTTCGCGTCCCTCTCGGTCTCGAAGCTCATTTCGTAGGTAGTTGAGTAGATCGTTGGTTCGGAGATCCGTGTCTTCCTTTTTGGCAATAGATTTGACCTTTAGTTCCGGCTTGTCCGGCGCGACGCCATGCTTGATGATAATGATCCAACTGTGCCTATCATCCCGATAATGTCGCAACAGGTCTTCAATAGAATGCGCGTCGACAGCTAGCTCAGCAGTGTATCCATGTGCGATCAGCTCTGCAACCATCTTCACGCCCGTAGATCGAAGTATATTGGGATCAAAGCTTGCCACGAGACAATCGCAACGGCGTGGCATCCATGAGACCAAGGGCGCATCTTCTTCAGCGTGCTTCTTAAGGAAGCTTGACTTTTCAGGCTTCTTCAGCCACCGGGCCATGGAGTTGACTAGCTTGTCCCATCCCAGATTGACACCAACGGCATGGTAGCCTGCTATAGGATGTGCGTGAACCGAGCCTCTTGGTCGATATTCTCCAATCAGCTTGTCATATCTACCACCTGCTGCCAGCACCTCGCGCTGCTTTGTATCAAACAAACATTGGAACATGATGCCTTTCGCATAGAAGCTTTCGTTGAAACTGCTCAGCACGCTGATGTACACTTTCCGCTTTATGTTCCAAAGCTCCATATAACGTACAACTGAACGAAGATGGGCAAAAATGGCGTGTGTGCGATCCAAGTATTTTGTGCCTTCTAATAATCGTCGTAGCCTGGAGAAGGCTTTCTCTGGTGTATCTCGCCAGTCAAAGCGGGCTAAATCGTCGATAGAGGTGGAGGACACACCAATTTCAGGTGATCGTAATTCGTTGCGGACCTTCTGCCAATTGTGGCTCGAAATGTTGAGTCTACTCAAGATGTTCTTAACCGCCCATCGCTTCGGAACGCTGATCCGGCAGAATTCCATAATCATATCCAACAAATCAGCGTGATTGAGATGAAAGCACATCGGTGTGTTGTTGATGGATGGAAAGTTGTCGACAATCTCGTCCACTACCTTCAGCACCTCGGCCTCCTTCAGTGCGAGATCTAAGGTGTCATGCGACAGAATATCGAAATCAGCTTCACCATTGCTACAAGGGGCACCGCCAGCAGGGCTATCGCGGTAGACTTGCCCAATTGTAAAAGTCTTTTCTAAAAATGGTGCGCCTCGCCCAATGCTGCGAGCGTAAGGTAGCGTGAGATCGTGGGGCAGCTGCACAAGGGTACCAGAAGGATCAAAGAGCTTTACCACGTTCTTGTTCGCGTAATGATCAGACCACGGCAACAGTAACGGACGTTGAACTTCGACCGCACCATGGCTTCGGAATACCATAGCCAAGCGATCTTTGACCAGGTTTTGCAGCAGTATATCGTTGGTCCTAATGGCCCGTGTAGCGACACCCGAATCCCATGTATAGTCTTGTGCTTGAATACCAGGCTTCTGAGAAAAGAGTGCAGCCATCACCTTTGCATAATGTGGAGAGTCGCGGTCGGAGAGTGCTTTGAGCGCTTCCTTGATTGCTTCATCTTCGATTTGCAGTGGTACTTTTCCACTGCGCAAGAGTTCTGCGCAGCTGGGACGATCTGAAGGTCGATGAGAAATTAGAGAAGTGATGATGGAACCCTGCAAAGACTTCTCAGGTTTTTGAAAGTCTTGCGGCAGATCATGCTTGCGTTCTCGTAGAAGTCGAATGACTTGATCACGTTCCATGGCTGTTCTCAAGGGAAAACACATCTCAAAGAAGATGATACCCATTGAGTACATGTCGACTTTGTCGTTGTAGCTTCCGGTGACCGTGGAACTCAGCTCTGGTGCAACGTACAACGCTGTACCCACGCTACGAGTCATATCGCCATCTTGTATGCCAGCAGATGTCTTCTTGTCTGACCGTTGGTATTGTCCACTTGTAGCAAGGCCAAAATCTCCAATCTTTGGAACTTTTGCGACATCGATGAATATGTTGTGCGGCTTCAGATCGCGGTGAATGATGCCATGACCATGGATATGAGCGAGCCCCTCAAGTATTTGTCTGAAGAGTCTCCAATACTCATCAGGGTCATCGTATAGACCTCTTCGAATCAGATCGCCCAAGGTCTGCTTTTCACAGAACTCCATTTGAATATACAGTATAGATCGAGCGGTTCGTGCATGTTGAGAATGTGATAAACTGCGCCTCTTCACCATTGGGGACCGAGGCCCGCTTGCCGTACCCGTTCCATCTTCTGGTAAGCAAATTAGCATTAATAGTCCTACGCTGAGATTGGGTCAGTACTTGCCAGAGTCTGATCCAAACACGACTGCACCATCGTCATCATATTCATCATCCAACTCTTCGTCGGAGCCAAACTCAATCCTGGGATAGCCGCCGGAGCTGATAAAGTCCAAACCGCCAGTACTACCATTCAGCGCAGTATCTCTAGTCGTGCCCGGCGAGATGTCGGAATCTGAGTCTGAGTCGTCCTCGCTAAGTGCTGTAGTGCCATCTCCGTCTGCTTCAGAAAAGCCGGGAGCGTCTTCTTCAGGCCAGGCGGTATAGTAGCGTACAACACAGCTATGATTCAGGCGGGACAGAAGCATAACCTCGGAGAGAACCTCGGTCAACGCAGACGCAGACTTTTGCTTGATTTTCTTGATCGCATAGATGCGGCCGTCGACTTTGTTACGCGCTTTCACGACTTCACCGTAACCACCTTTTCCCAGTCGGCCTTGTTCTACCCAGTCGGTCGCATATCGGGAGTAGGATGTAGGGACACCCGCTGAAGATTCTCGACGCAGTCTCCAATGACCCGACGTCGAAGAGTGTCTAGACCGTATTGGTGTAGGCGGGTGTTCGTAAACAGGAACATCTTCGCGCAGGAATTCGCTTGGAATGAGATCGAACGCAGATGGCCGTTTCTTGGGATCCGGCTTGAAAAACTTGCGCATTATCTCTTGCAGCGGCTCAGAACATCCGACAGCGTCAGACAAATCCTTTGGCGAGTTATACTTCTCCGGCGCGTCCAGACCAAAAAGCATTTGAAGGAACACAACGCCCAAGTCCCACACGTCGGTCTTACGAGTCCGGCGTATGTCTTGTGCGAGTTCAGCAGCCACCCAGAATACCGACCTTGACGTGGCAACAGCCTGCTCGCCTCTGCACAGACCCTGAAGTTGATGTAAAGTATCTTGAAAGGCACCATCTGTGAATTTGACGGAGATATTTCCGCTTGACGACTTCTGAAACAGAATATTGTTAGGGTGAATGCGTTTGTGTACCAAGCCGTTGCGGTGGTAGTAGTCCAGTGCCTCCAGGAGCTCAATTGTCCATGAACGAATTCTGCTAACCGTAATCTGTCCGTCATCCTCAAGCTTGTCGCGCAGCGAGCCTTTGTTGGCGTACTCCATTAAGATGTTGATCTCCCAGCCTGCGTCAGAGAGATATTCAATCTTGAAGTCTAAGATGGTGAGAATTGCGTTTTGTCGTAATCGCTTGACATCCTCCATTTCCTCTTCAAATTCCATTATGGCCTTCTTCAGTTGTGGGCCTGCAGCAGAGTTACCACCTCCTACGCGCATACGTTTCAAGACAAAAGTTAGGGCTGCAGTACTGTTCATAGGTTTGACTAGTAGCTGCTCCGTAACAGGTCCAACATGGAAGGGCACAAGACCCTCGACCGCACTGCAATCAATCATTGCGTCATTCTCCTGCCAGACTATAGTCCTGTCAAATGACACATGGTTCTTGTTGCTTTCAGTGGGAAAATAAGAAGTGGGGGCATTGGCTGATGATCTTGTCTTGCGCTTCGCCATCATTTCTTTCCGCCGTATCTCGTCACCGACCCGTCGCTGCAAGGCGCGTTCTTCATCGGCTCTTTCCTCATCTCGTTTCTTCTGCAACTCTTCCTCTTCGCGTTTAGCAATTTCTGCAGTCTCCGCTTCCTGGACGACGCGTTCTGCATCTAAGTTGTCGTATGCACCGTCGTTCTCGCGAACGGCTATCTCGTCTTCAAGGACATCTTGGATACCAGTTGCAATTTCATATATCATAACCTCGCCAACTAATTCCTTGGGCCGATCCTGGATCAAGTTTCGAAGATTATCCCATGTTCTTTTTCTCAACTTCTCTCCACCTTCCAGGCTGAGTTCCGGAAGTGACTTGGGGTAGGTTGCTGTCAGCTTGACGCAGAGGGTGATGGAAATGTCGTCATTTGAGTAGGCTTTCAATTTTAAGCGCAGTACGCGATCTGTAGTTTTGCTCCATGCACCTCTTGCTTCTGATTCCTCATAATCTTCCATGAAAACGGCTTTCAGAACTTCACGTTCGTCTTCCTGTGCCTTTTCATAGGTTTCAGAGGGCTGCGACACCAGTTGAGGCCGCTCCAATGGCGAGTCCTCGATTGGACTGGCCGGACCTCTGACATCGTCCCCAGTAGGTGTGGATGCATTATTTTGTTGCTTTTTGCGTGGTGTCTTGTGCGGTGCCATGATGGGCTGACTTGTGTAGGATTGTTAATGCCGTCATATGAGGTTTTTGACGGAGAGACTAGCAGCCGAAGCTGCCTGCCCTTCACACTGCAGACATCTTGTTTGTTTATATTCCAATTGAAAGAGCGTTTGATGGTGACGAAATTGGAAGTCTCTGGTTGCCAACACATGCAAATAGCGGTCGGTGGGGGGGGGGCGAAGCTGGCAGCCCTGTGGACCCCGCAATTCCACGCCAAAGCCCAAGAAGGGGTTAGCGCCTCAACGCGACTTGGTTACCCCTCCCGGGTGCCAGTACAACACCACACACGCTCAATCACACAATATTGCGCCTTCCATCCCAGCTACCAAAAAAAAATAACGCTTGGGAACAGATCGGAAAATAGCGGCGATTGTATCCCGAGAGTTGGAACTCGCATCAGCGCTTCATCTGAAATTCCAGCCTTCGTTTTCGACCAATAAACAATAACCCAAACAAGGCATCCATCACAGCAACACAGTAAAACACTGGGCCATACTACCCATCTACTGTCTTTGAACGTATCTCTGGGCGTAGACTTGGTGCCAGAGTAGCCACCGACCATGTTTTCGTGGATTACGGGTCCACGCATTGCCAATGCGATCGAAGATTTACAGCCAGGTATGGCCCCAAGCATGGGCATGGAGACGTACTGACGCGTGTAGAGAACAATTATGAGTCAACTATTATTGAACAGCCTGAGACACCTGCACATCAGTTCGCCGTCAAAGCGTTCAAGCATGCCATATTCGGCACTCCCGCACCCGAAGACACGAACGGTGCCTCGAAGCCATCAGAGCGAAAGAAGCGCCTAGACGCAGCCAACGCGAAGAAGATAGACTTACCAGCGCCGCCAGAAACTACGCCGCCAGTATCGCCTTCAAAACAGCCGGGCGGTATACTAATGACCCCTGGGACCACGAGTAAAGGGAGGAAAACAGTATCGTTTGGATCGCAGGTCATGGATAACGAGGGTAAGAAGGTCAATGGGGGCAAGAGTGGAATTCCAAATGATTGCCCAGGAAAGTTTCCTAGCCCTTGGACACCTGGCGCGCAGTTGAAATTAGATCCCTCGAGCGACAAGAGGCCTCGCAACAAGCTTACTGAGGCTTTGCTGGATGCACGCACAACCACGCAGCCGACATCAGGCCAAAAACCTCGGGCGAGAGACGACACTGACATCACGATCGACATGGGTGCGCCGCGGTCCGAGTCTGGGAAATACTGGAAGGAGCAGTACGAGAGCTACGCTGAGAGAAGCGAGAAGGAAATGAAAAAGGTCATCGCAAAGCAGCAATTGGCCAAGAAATTTGCCATGAAAAAAGACGGCGAGGTGACAGAACTTGTCACAAAACTTGAACAAGAGCGCAAACGATTTAGGCAACGTGAACGAGAATTGGAGCAACAGAACAAGAACTATCAAGAGCAAGCACAGAGGGCAATAGCTGATAGCGCATCAGCCAGCATCGAAATTGCGGAGCTGAAAGCACGTGTAGCCATCTTGGAGCGATCCGCTGCAATGTCATCATCAGAGATTCAGAACAGGCCATCTTTCGATATATATGAAGATTCGAGCAAAACACAGCCACAGCGACCTCAGGCGCGGGAACTCGACGCTTCACTCGCCCCATCGGTTAGTATGGCTTCTTCGAGCAAAGAAAATACCTCGCCGACGTCTACATCACAACGTCGTCGACCACTGCTTGACGCACCAATCCTTCCCAAGCCACTAGCGAGGTTTGGCACCGATGATGGTCAAGTGTCCCTGATGCTGGGCAAATCGCCTCGTGCTTCTTCTCGATCTACCGACACCTCTGAGCAAACACGACCAGCACCAGCAGAGATACCAAAATCGCCTCTGGACTCGCGAAAATGGGATTCTATCAAGGAGAATGGTCCACCCAGCTCACCCTTTGTCGTACTTCCTTCAAGCCCACTACCCATGCCATCATCAGATCCTTGGCTTGCAGCAGAAGCTAGCTCGATATTGCAAATGGACAAGATGGCGTTACCTGTCTCAACAGGAGTGCCATACTCGAGACCTGAATGGAATCCACCGCCTAAGAAACCTAGGCATGCGAAGCAGACAAACACGGGTAGCGCAGGCCGCAAGACTGGATACACCACTGCAGCCAGGAAGTCTGTAAGCACAAGTACCAAAGCCCTAGACACTAATGACATCGCTCACGGAATGGGATCGAAATCGACCACTACAAGCCGGTCTCTAGGCAACGCGGTGGAGGAAGAAACCAAAACCACTACTGTATCGAAAGCGGCGACAACTAGAAGTCAGTCTGCTAGTGATCCGAAGTTCGGCCTCTCAACGCTCACGGCTCACCATGCCGAGGGTTCCAGGCAGGTCAAGCAAGATCGAGCAGAGATCTTGCCTACAGACCGCAAGGCAGAGGCCAGGCGCAGACTAGAAGCAAGGAAGAAGTTGCGAAAGAATGCGGCTGCTTGATAGATATTCCGTCGAAGTTCCCGGCAGGCGATTTGCTCCCGACACAAGGGAGGTTGTGATTACATTTTTGTTTGGGTATCGCATTATTGTTTACTAGCATTATCAACGGCGTACGGGAAGATACCTCAGCGTGTTATGTCTAGCCAATGGCCTGACCTCTATTCATATATGCGTCTATTCAATACAGTGGTACATCACTTATATGCTCATTGGGTATCACACTCCTCCACCGCTTATGCGCCGCGCCTGCAAATGCAAAATACCTCAAATAGAACCGCGCACATGCCTCCCCGCTCTTCACTTCTCTCCCGACGCAATCGCCTCCAGCGCCTCAAAGACCGCCAACGCGCTCCCCTCGAGCGCTTTTCTTTGCCCCCCACTCATCTTGCCCAACACATAGCGACTAACAACTTGCGGATCTCTACTCTCGGGTCTGCCGATCCCCACGCCTACCCTCCACCACTTCATGGAGCCCAATTGCTGTTGACAGCTCTTGATCCCATTATGCCCTTTTGCACTCGCCGCGCCCAGTTTGACCGTCACTTTGCCGAGCTCCGACTCCAACTCATCATGCACAACCACCAGGCGGGCCTCTTCGCGCTTTAGACTTTTCGTTTGGACCCATTGGGTATATGCGCGCTTCAGGGCTATGCCGCTGATGTTCATGAGACTGGTGGATTGCCAAAATGTCCAGTCTTCATCTTCGGGTGGAGGGGCGGCGCCGTCGCGCACTTTGGTGTAGCCGCCAATGACGCTGAAGGAGTAGTGTGATGTGTCTGGTTGGGAGATTAGGCCTGAGAATCCCTTGGTGAAGGGCCGGTAGTTTTTCTTCGTGGCGAGGTGGCTGGTTACGATGTGGCCGGCTGAGTGGAGAGTGTTGGAGTACGTGGGGCCTGGGTTGCCAATTGAGGCTATGAGGAGCGGGTAGGATTTTTGAAGGGGTATTGTGGGTCGCATGGTTGTGAGGAGGGTGGTTTCGCAACCAATTGCGGGATCTGGGCGGTTTTTGACTTTTGGTGGGTGGTTTGGTGGTTTTTTGGAGAGTGGAGGGGAGGATTCGTTGTCGGTAGTTGCTGGGGTCGGCTGAGCGGAGTTGTATTTTTGTGTCCTCTTTTTATCGCGTTTTTCTTTTCGGCTTTGGGGTGGTGTGTGGATCGTAAAGACGGGGAAGGACGTGATGATGCTAAGTGGTGGTGTTGAATATGAAAGTTCGGGATCGGCGACAGGGATCAGCAACCGTGGCGTCACGTGCGCACGTGCGTTCGCGTCTGTCGTGTCAGGCATCATGGGATGAAGTTAAGACTCGAAATTTTGAAGATAAGGAAGACTCCCATACGACAAGTTTTGGACGGGGCAGAGTTTTTGGCAGAATATGCGCCTCGTGAAGTATTGGCACGAGCGAGGATAAAGCGCATTGTGAAGTGTATCGCCACAGTCACAGGGAAGAGTCATGGTTGATTTGTAAAGGCGGCCCGTTGCTCGCATCGAGGTAAGCCGCCCTTTTTTATCACTGACAGTGCCTAACATTCGTACTAGTAATTAACGGGACTCGAACTTCAATATCAAACGGGATTCGCATGTGCACCGTGGTCTAGAGTCGCTAGGTATTAAAGGTAGCAGATCGCGGAACATCTTGGCGTACATCATCATTCAGGAACAAGTGGTGCTTGTCTGCTGCGGGTAGCGGTTCCCGGTTCACTTCACGCCGGATATCGCACTCGCCACTTGCGCGTACCTTCACTCGCTCACACTCTTTCACTCTTGCTTGGCGTGGTATCTCACCACACCACACAATACGATATAGCGACATCACGCACACGAGAAACGAGCTCTCACTACTAAGATGGCTTCCAGGCAGACAACACCACCTCGAGCCACCCGTTCGGTGGGGAAACTGCCACCAAATCCTCCCACGCCGGAACAGATACGGAAGATGGAACAAGCCCGTCTCAAGGCCAAAGCCGCTGCAACACAAGCCCAAGCGAAACCTTCGCCTGCACCAGTCGCTGGTGCAAAGCGGGCATACTCGAACATCACATCAGACAATGCGCCAACACAAGTGCGTAATGCTGGCGTATCCCAATCCAAGCCCGACCACAATGGCTTCATGCAGCCCCCCTCAAACGACTACATCCAGCCTGCGAAGAAGTATGCGCGATCCGACTTCATAGACTACGACTTCTCCAAGATGACAGACACGAAAGGTGGTTTCCTTAGCACCGTTGATGATCCTCACAACAAAGCCATGTGGAAAGGCCAACCTAAAGAAGAGCAAAAACCTGAGGGTGTCACAATGGTGGAATGGGAACGCGAGCGCATCCGCCGCAAATTACGAGCCAATCGTGCCGGTCCCTACGAGCCAGGAATCTCTATTCTCAACGCCGTCAACGGCAAAGAAGAAGCCGAAGATGAAGATGCACTCCTCCTCGAAGCCGCTGAGAATGCCGAGATCGAAGCAGGAACCTTCAAAGGAAAATACGGCGACGGAAAACGCGACGTCAAAGGAAAGTGTCGAGAGTGCGCATCATTAGAGATAGATTGGAAATGGCAAGACATATTTCACATTGGCGTCTGCAACACCTGCAAAGAGAAATTTCCAGACAAATACTCGCTGCTTACCAAAACGGAGGCGCGAGACGACTATCTCCTTACCGACCCGGAACTCAAAGACGAAGACCTCCTCCCGCATCTCGAACGTCCAAATCCACACAAGCAGTTTTTCCACCCCATGCAACTTTTCTTGCGCCTGCAGGTCGAAGCCTACGCTTTCAGTCCCAAGAAATGGGGTTCTGCCGCCGCATTAGATGAAGAGTACGAGAAGCGCCAGAACGTGACAAAGGAGCGCAAGCAAAAGAAGTTCAAAAACAAGCTGGAACAGTTGAAGAAGAGGACGAGGGCAGAGGCCTATAAGCGTGCGGGTTTGACGGGTGGAGAGGCACAGTTTGGACAGGTTATCAAGGGGAGATATGATAGACATGAGCATGAGTGGGGTAGGAGTGTGTTAGATCCCGAGACGGGCTTGACAAGAAAAAGGTGTGAAGAGTGTGGCATGGAAGTTGAGGAATTGGACTTGTAGTAGCTGGTGTTTGACTTGGGAGGTTTGGAAATCCCCTCCCAACAGAAACATGGCGGCAAAAACATACAACAGCGGGGATTCGCCAGTGGGCACCCGCTATATTAGACAAAGTATTCAGATCAGGAGGATGGAAGCTTCGAGATGGTATACACAAAAATATCATCGAATTTCTTGAAGCGCTTCTCGTGGAAGCACGTTATGTTGATCATGCCTGCAAGAGCGATTTCCATTTACTTCAGCTGTAGTTCAAGCATCGCTCTCACTAAGACTATTAGAGGATGTATAATAAAAAGCTAGCGCTTACTTAGAAGTTCATGTATTATTACGGCACAGTCAAGGCAGGCGTCTGATTTGAGAGCGGCTCATTTCGCAGCCAGTGCATCCTGGGTGTCGATACGACTCCCGACTATGTAATCCATGGGATTGTCCCGATGGAGGATATGAAGAAATAGCCATAAGAACAGGCAGCTCGAGATCCATCTTCTAGTCAGTCTATGCCGTGAATTGTATCCTACCCCTTCGTCAAACCATGTCATACAAACCCAATCAGATTGATGCCGCTAATCTAGCGTACCATTACAACATGATCACAACCGACCCACATGGGGTATACTACCAGCTTAAAACAGGAGCACAGGGCTTCCCAACTAGTTTCTGGGCTTCGGAACTGTCTGAAAACCTGTTATGAGATTCTAATGTTCAGATTATGTCCTAACCTCATCTGTCAATTTGCAGTGGCTCGCAGCAAGCCCCCTCCCTCTTCATCGTAGCAGGTATATCAACCTACCGCCTCAACTCGCAACTACAGGCAGGAAGTCATTTCCACCTTCCGAATTGTCGCACATACTCTGGGACCTCTTATCCAAGGCGCTTCTCTCAGTCAAAACCATTGGACAATCTGCCTCATTGTGTCAGGCGGTTCCGTGCAGCGAATCATGAAAACGGACCCAAATGCTCGTCGTGGAATCTTCGAAGTCCATGAGCATGTCTACAAAGTCGAATACGGCAGTTAGATGGTTCGACCTTTCGGCTACAAGTGGGCTTCTCGTTGACCCTGTGGAGAGCGAAATTCGATCTCAAGGTTGGGATCGGTATGATATGACTGAGGGTGGAGTTGGATGTCGATGGTGGATGTAAGCGTTTAGCGAATGGTATTCACTTGTGTGTACTAATTGAGCGTTGGTAGCATGACGGTCATGCGCGGACTCGCTGACGAAGGTTTCGTTAATGGAGAGTAACTCGAAAGCAATCTTGCACCAGCCCTGAGCTACAATTACTCGAAGAACCTTGAGCCTACCTGTTTATTAAATTCATCGAAGAGTTCTTCCTCAAACTAACCATCGTCATCCTTTCGCTGATTATTTGATCATTGTGGCTGCTGGTAGTCCCAAGCCTTGCGCATCAACAAGTTAATCGCGACTCCTACAATCCCAAAATTCAAGGTCGTTGACCTAATATGAGTAAGAGCCAATCCCCTTCCTTCCTAACATTGTCATCTTCAAATTTCTCGGGATTCAGGAAGGCACAATGGTACTAGCATGTTAAGAACCGAGGATGCCTTCTTCCTGCTGGTCATAGAGCACACACATGTTTGACAAATATTACACACAACACACCACTAGGTCCAACAGCCTATCCATCATTCAACATTCTCAACGTTCCAATTCAGCGACTCCGCTTCGAGCAAAAATGTCCGACTCGAGCGGTCCACGACCAGCAGACACCGAGGCCCGCAACGAGACTGATACTCAAAACAACAACACCGCAGAACCCGAACGTTCTACTCACGACCAAACCGCTACCCAGCCCACAAACTTCCACATCCGCAAGAAATCCACGGAAGAAGTGAAAGCTGCTGCGTAATTTCGCCCCCATTGAACTCCTCCCCTTCACACTCAGCTAACACTTCCACCCCCAGCGCCGAACTCAAACCCAGTATGCTTACCCCCGGCCTAAAACAGCACCCGGATCAAGCCAGCCTCGGCGGCAAAGAGTGCGCAGCTCCAATGGAAGACACACCCGAGAACATCAAAGATAGCTGGAAGAGAGATTCATTTTTTAAACCGGAGGCTCGGACCCCGATAGGATCGATGACGGTGAAGCATATCGACGAAGGCACGATTTTGTATCATTGTGGAACGTGTAGGGAGTGCAATACGCCGAATCGGGAGAAGTGTAAGAAGTGTAAGGATGGGTTGGGTGGAGAGGAGTGCTGAGGGGTTTGGGAAAGTAGGTGTAGGTGTTGGAGGTTGGGATTGTGAGTTGGAAAAGAAAATTGTGGAGTATTATTGTATCGGCTGGTTTCTGGGTTCTGGGTTGAGGCATCATTTTGGTGAGTGTGTTGCTTGTCACCTTGTATGACAAGTAATTCCCCTGCACTGGGTAGTTTTTTCAAATTCATCTTTTGAGCTACGGTGTTCAGAACAGCAACCTCACTGGCTGGTACCTAATACCACCCGGTTACCGAATTCCTCAGAAAACCACGTCAAGTCGAGTCAACATGAAGTTTTTGAGTCATAAAATTGTATGAATATGGGCTGTCGTGCAATTGCTACTGCTACAACAAAACCACAAATATTCACCAGCTACCTTCTCCCACTGAGAATTCTTGACATCACAGAAGATCAATAAACTCATAACAGCTACTTTGCCATGTCCACCTTCGATGAGGAATCCCATTCCAACAGAGAAGACACCCAGCAAGACTCAGAGCACCCCTATTCGCGCCGTTCCCCCGAGCAACTGCACAATGAAACAAGGTAAGCCGAGCCCCCATAATTTACGAACCTACCACATCACTCCAATACCAACGCCCACCACAGCTCAAAAACGAGCACTCTTACCTCCGCCCTCAAACACCAACCACCCATTTCAACACCCGACCCTTCAACACCGGACCCTTTAACACCCGACCCACCAACCCCCATACCCACCACGACGAAACTCAAGCCCTCAGTTACAAACTCCTGGACAGAAAACGCTTTCAAGAAGGCCAAAGCGGAACGTGTGTGTCCTTCGACTACGACTGAAAAGTGGAAGTGTTATGATTGTGGGGGTGAAAATTCCCATGATTGGACTATGAAATGTGAGACGAGGGGGTGTAAAGCAGCGCAGAAAACAGGGGGTTCGGCGTCTTAACGGCAGGGGAGACCAAGGCGGGAAGAAGATAAGGCGATGCGGACGGAGAGGGCAGCAAGGGAGCATCAGATCATGAGTGAGGAGGGGCTGACGGTAATTGGTGAGTCGGGTTGGATTTATGTGGGTGGGAGGACTCAGGGGTGTGTGTTTGTGCATGTTTTTTAAGGCGTATCTAGTTATACAGAACTCAACAGCATGTGCCGGTGAAACAAGGGCTAGCTTGTTTCATCGAAAGTAGATGTTGGGTGCTGCTCTTGGTCAACCACAATTTATTTCATTCAATCTACGTGTATTGAAGCGGGCGATATATTGACTCTGGACATTGATGTTCCACTCTCTAAATCCACTGCGGTACAATCCCGACATCAAACTTATCTAGACAACACATCGCACTGGGCCGCGTGGACCACTGCGTTGACGCGGGGCATTGGGAG